TCTCATTTCCTTTGAACCACATCCACACTCACACCAGCAACTGCTTCCTCAACAATCAAAAAATGTAAATGAATAAAGAAAATCAATTATTGATGTAATATATAGTATGTACACTTAAATGATGCAATTTTATTGGGGGGGTTATATTGACTGGATCAAATTACTGGGGGGGTTATAACCCCACTAACCCCCGTGTAAATTACGCGGGTGTGGTTTGATCCCGCGTTCCAGCTGTCTCAGTCGTTGTTTCCTTGAGCAAGAGACTTCCCCCACCTTRCCAACTGATGGTGGTCAGAGGGTCTGGTGGTGTCGGTGCATGGCAGTGTGCCCCAGGACAGCTGTGACTTGCCACCCCRTCCACCCATGTCCTCATTTTGTTTTCCATATTAGGAGACGCGTCCATCTGAGCTGTTGGAGAACTTCTTATTTTTTTTTTTTTTTATTCACCTGCAGTAACTAAAGCTGGTGTCTGTCTCCAGGATTCAGTGTGAGAGAGGCAGGTGATACTCTGGACAAGGTGCATGTCCCATCACACATGCATTATTTTTGGTCTGTGGGAGGAAACCAGAGTACCCAGACAAAACAYGAGTGCACAGGAAGAACACATATACTCCACCTTGAAAGGCAGCTATACTCTAACCACTGCATGTGTGACACCATTGTGCTTGCACACTGCTTTTGTTTCATCGCTCTGAGTGCAGAATAGTGCATGGTATACAGGGTGCAGAAATAAAAGTGGGACAATAACAGCCTAAATATCAAAAACAAACATGACTAAATGCAGACCACCCAGCACAACTGTTGTTCAGCTTTARTGAAGGAATAATTTATTTTAACTCAAAAGATAATGGTAATTGTAATACTTTCTGTTAGCAACCAGCTGTCATCTCATCAGTTATTAATTACTAAAATTCTTAATTCTTAAGATGGGAAAACTGTGCTGTTTCCTGTCAAATCATCAGTGTTTTAATTGTGAAACTAAAGTGATACATTCAAAATTAGAAAGTAGCTGACTCTTGATTGGTTAGTAATGTCTAGTGAAAGCATCAATCAGAAGCTAACTAAATAAATGACAGACAATCGTGGAAAAAGAACAGGAAGATGGAGGCTGCCAGGAGAAGGTGGAGGTGTAGACCTGACTACAACCAGGTGGGTCTTCCTGCAGATGGGACACACAAAAAAAACAGTCTCAAGCCAGAAATTAATTTATCTTACATTTTAAAACAAGAAAAGTTTATAATCCCACAGATATCTTCTGAAGCACAACACAATAGATTAACATACCTTGTACTCAGTAATATGTTTTTTCAGGCTTTTTATTGTGGGCGAGTGTAGATATACGGGTGTTCCTGCAGATTGGACACAGTGATATAAAATATAAATAATCAACAGTACTGAAGACCATCTTCCTAAGTATGACTCATATTGTTCAACAGTCATAAATCTACCTAATAATCCAACTATGAAAGTTCTGATACTGATGTGAAACTCTGTAGAGACTTATTTGAGTCTCAGGCAAAAACCTTTAGAAGACCTGGCAACAACAAAAAGGAAGGAAAACATTCATAAATTGTTTTAAATTGTGCATCTACTACTTTATTTGTAAATCACTTTAAAACAACCACTGCAACAAAGTGTCATACATGTCAAATCAGAAAACATTTGAAAAACATTGGAGTGATACATGCTAAGGTGAGTCTCAGGCTGTGCCAAAGGCCCGTGAATAGAAACGTGATTTTAGAAGAGTTTCAAAGGTGGACAGTGAACATGCTTGTCCGACAGGAAGTGGGAGATTGTTCCATAATGTTGGAGCAGCAACACAAAAGGCTCTGTCGCCTCTGAGCTTACGTTCAAACCTAGGCACCTCCAGGAGCAGCTGATCAGCCGACCTCAGGAGAGAATGGATGAATCTGCTCAGAGAGGTAGGACGGTGGTGAGACTATTTCAGAAAACAAAACAAAAGCACCTCATAATGAACTCTAAAATGAACAGGTAGCCAATGGAGGGAAACCAGTTTAGGGGTGATGTGCTCCCTTTTACTAACTCCATTTAGCAGGCGAGCGGCAGCAACTGGTTGAATCCGAAGTAAAGAGTGTTATAATTGGATGAAGGCATGCATTAATGCAGGGGTGGGCAATCCTGGTCCTCGAGGGCCGCAGCCCTACACGTTTTACATGTTTCCCTGCTCCAACACACCTGATTCAGTCACTGAATGACCTCTTCCAAGTTCTGCAGTATGGAGGACTGACACTGACATAATTATAAATAAAAGCAGAAACATATAAATGAACCACTAAATAAATATATTTAAAATGCACCAAATAAATTAAAAAAGAACTTTACCTCAAGTTTTATAATTTTATTTACC